GTAAATTAGAAGTAGAAGATTTTGATTTTTCCTCTCCATTTAATGTTTCAATGCATTTTCCAATTTTATATTTCACTCCGAGATCACTGTCTAGTCGGCTCTCAAGTTTTCATTTGAAGCTTGTTTGAGCCACATTACTTTTAAAAAAGTACATATTTCAACAACGATTTGATATCATTTCAATCATACATTTTTCAATAAAATAATATTACACGCAAATTTAAAATTTTTGTTTATTTTTTAATCACACATTTTCCATTGATTTGACATGAATAATACAATTTTTTTCCTAGAATGTGGCTCAAAAATTGGCTTGAATTCAGATCACTTGTTTGACGCCCTTTAATTTATTTTACGATTTGTTATGGAATTATTTTCAATAATATATTCTAATAATAAAATATTCTATACATATATCAAGAGTATTTCCCTATTTTTAACACACATTTTCCAACAAAATATTATTCTCATTTTTTTTCTAGAATTATTGAGAATCAAGCATGCTCTTAGCTCTTGTTTGAGCTTCATATTATGGGAAAAAAAATGCATTTTTAAATAGTGATAGATGAAGAATATATGGTTAAAAATTAAAGAAAATTTTTGAATTTGCGCGAAAATTATTTTATTAAAAAATGTGTGGTTGAAAATGAATTTTTGAAAGAATATGGCTCAAACAAGGACTTAATAACCCTTGTCTTCATTTTCATATAAAATGATGAATATGAATTTCTTTAAGACAATGATTAATGTAATAAAGTATAATTTGTAATACAACCTACAACCTATTGTTTATTTTAATTAATTTTTTTGCCATACAGAGAAAAAAATAAGAGATGTGTAATTAATTTACCCTTTAATAAATTTTCAATTTTTTAAAAAAAAATTCATTTTGGAGTCGAGGTGTTTTTGTTTGACGAGTTTCTGCTTCGTTTAGAAGAGTTTCTTGAAAAAAGTACTTTAGATTAGTTTCCTCTAAAAACTCTAGAAATAACTAATTAAAAAAAAATTATGCAAACATATTTAAAAATAAATTTTTAATTTTATAAATAACTTTTGACATTTCAAAAGTTCAACCAAACGAACTCTAAAGTGTAGTTGTCTTACTTCTACTTAAAGCTAACATAATGGTGACAAAAATCACGGGATTTGATTGGGTTTGTCGATTAATATGAATATATATAATTTTGGTATGATCTTGGTTCTAATTAAGTGGAAAGAGAAATGAAATTCACCTTTAATAATTAATTAAGCATTCATTTCAAATGAGAAGGCATTAATTATGAAATTAATTGCACATTTTTAGACTTTTATAGAAAATAATTAGCTTTTATGGTAATGTATTATGGCGAGGATTGATTGAATTCAATGTAATAAAATATATTTAGGATAATTTCTAAATAGAGAAATGTGCAAATAGTATGAATTTTTTATTAACTTATATTGACCAATGTAATGAATGAGATTTAAAAATTTCTGAAAGCTAATAAAATTATAATATCATATTCTTGAATGCTTACTTTTTGGTCGTAAAGGTGAAAAATGAAATGAAATATTTTTGAAACGGACTTGTGATCGTGGATTATAATTAACTGTTTGGAGATAAGATCATGCTACAATTGACGCTAGAATCCTCCACATTTTGAGTAGAAAAAACAGACAAGGAAAAAATAAAAATAAAAGCTATTGTAGATACAGAAGCCATGTAGGTAACATATTTTAGTAGTTGCAACCATAACCATAAGTTGGGGAACTTCAGAAGAAAGCAAAATTTTCTCAATCAACAAAATGAATTATTTCCATTATATCCGTAATCATTCCCTATAAATATAGGGCTTTGATTTTCATTATAATACATACAAATTTATTGATTTTTATATTCTCTTCTCTTTTTCTCTATTTTTATAACACGTTATCAGCACGAAAATTTAAGTTTTCAAAATTTAGTAAATGTAGTAATTTTTTAAGGATAATCATATATTACATGTACCAAAATTAATTTAGTGATATGTGAATTTTTTTTATCTCTACATACATATGTATCATCACGAATTTATTGCGATTATTAGTATGTATAATTTTTTCCACCATTGCCAAATAATGATTTCTTTCAACTATATCGAAATTAATGATTTTTTTTTCTTTATTGCCGCGGCAATTATTTTTGTTTGCGGAGGTTGTTTCTTCCTCCTCTCTTTCAGTTTTTCTATCAATACTTGAAGCGACACATGTATTTATATCCATTTTTCTATCAATTATTATTAAATTTGGCACACATATCATTAAATTGACACATCCTAGACTGTTGACACGTATGTACATATCCTCTGGGACGTGGTTATTTTATGTTTGTAAGTACAGACTAGTAGTGCTTGGTACACCCTTACACTCCTTTCACAATGAAGGGGTTCACAATTATAAAATTCATGTGGGCTTTCTCACATTGTGAGAGGACTGTACACCATGATATACAAGAAGTTTTATTGAAATACAGATCCTTTGACACGTATGTACATAAAATAATTTATATATTTGCATAGAATTTAAACAAATTTGTGCTCTTTAATTTGATTAATTATTGTCCATAAATTGTGCATGTTTATATTTTTCCTTTAGTCAATTTTTTTTTTTTTAATTTATGGTGCAGTTGAATTCTGTCTAGCTTTTTCTGATTAAATGTTCTTTTTAAATTGATAATATCATATTATTGCTCCAACTCTGTAAACAATACATAGCCCTTGAAAAGCTAATGTTTCTAAATATTAATTTGTTGGTGCTCTTGAAATAGCATAACATTATAATTAATATTCTAAAAAAATATTACCTTGTTTCTAAAAGGCAGGAATTCAATATTCTTCAAGAATATTGACAAATTGCTCTTGAAGAAGTAATAGTAAAATACAAGAATATTTATTCTTTTCAATGCTTGATTAATCCTACAAATCATTTGTCGATAGTCTCTTTAAGTACTATATTTAATCCAATAGAGGAGGCAAATATAATTTGAAGACAACGATTACGTATTCGAACCTTCACCTTTATATTTTATTCTTGATTCATTCTTTTCTTTACAGTTCATTTTGTTTCTTGATCTCGTTCTTTGTTTCTTTTCCAACCCTTTGTGTGCAAATCATAAATTTCCAACACATTCAACTGAAGCCCAAACTATTGTGGGTATACATAGGGACAGCAATTCGGCTCGTCGACTCGAGACGCCCCATGAATTGGCCCGAAAAAAGCCCGAGCAGGTTCGGCTTGAGGCTTAGGCCTAGCCCCATTTTGGGAGGTTGGGCCAAGCCCGAGCCAGCCCATGAGCCCATAAAAAAAAAACCTTGGAGGCAGCAAAATGATACCTTTCAAAAGGCAGCACAATGCTGCCTTAAAAAGTGAAAATTACACAAAACCCTAACATTAAAATCTAGAGTTCATAAATCATAGAGGAAGTTTAACATTTCAGAAATCAGAAAATTTATTTTAATTAATATTTTATTAATAACCCACCCCACCGATTTTCACGCCAAACCTAATCCCTTTCCTTTTTATTCTCTCTCTCTCTCTCTCTACCTCTTCTTCTTCCTCTTCTTCTTCAGTCTCTCTCTCTCTCTACCCTAAATCCCTAATCAGGGGCCAATTTGATATGGAAACAAATTGGTCGTTTGATGCCGAAATCGAAGGAGTTTGTTTGGTGGTTGAAAATAGTGGTGGTGCGAAGGGCGGCGACGGTGGAAGTGGTGACGACGACAGTGAGGTGATGGCGGTTGGGCGATGTTGGCGGTTTGATTTGTTGGTAGATCTTGTGGTTTTGTTCTGGTTTGTTGGTGATATATCGCTTTCAGACCAGATAAAGCATACCGACTTCACCCTCTCTTTCACATTCTCTCATTCGAGCTTCGCTTGCAGCGACGGTTTTGATTTGTTGGTAGATCTTGTGTATTTTTTTTTCCTTTTTGCTAATGGTTGTTTGACGGTGGCTCTAGCGATGGGTGGTGTTTGGACGGTGAGGTGCGGTGGTCGATCTAATGGTGGTTGATGGTAGTTTTGGTACGGTCGTGGCTTGTGGTGGGTTGCAGTTCGGTGAACAGTGAGGAGGCGGAGTGGTGTGATGTTGGTAGTGGTCGTGGTGTGATGTTGGTGGTGGTCGCAAATGGTGGTGTCGATATGCGATGACAATGGTGGTCTTGTGGTTTGTTTTTCATTGTTTTTGGTGATTTGTCATGTGGTGGTGGTTTGTGTTACAACGGTAAGGGGTGGCTGGTAGTGTTGGTGGTCACAGATTATTTGGTTAATTGTGACCATTAAATTGATTAATTTGTGACTAATAAATAATATGTGATCGATGAAAAAAATAAATTGTGACTAATGTGACCTAAAAATATATTAATTTTTGACCTTTTAATAAATTGTGACTGATGAAAAAAATAAATTATGACTAATGTGACCTAAAAATATATTAATTTTCAACCGTTTAATAAATTGGGACCCATATATTTGTATGTGATCGATACATAAATTGTGACCTATTAATTTTTGATCTGTGACTATGAAACAAATTGTGACCTATAAAATTTTTAAATTGTGACCATAAAATAATTTGTGGCATTTAAAAATTATGATTTGTGATTAAAAATAATATATGACTAATTAAATTATGAATCTGTAACCAAATTGTATGGATATGTGAACATAATATATTTAATTAATAAAATATATAATTAATTAATTAAATTATAAATAAAATTTATTAATAATTTATTAAATAAATTAAATCATAAATTTTGGAGAGTTTGTTCACATATGGAAATTGCATATTT